TCTGGAGAATGACAAGAACCTCAAGCGGAGGAGCAGTAGGTACTTCTTTGAGATTCACAAATCTTCTCCCCATCCCTTCCTCAACGATGATCACTTTCTTCGGTCGCTCTACCTTGTGTCGCATCGGCGGTCTCTTCATCTTGCCACCTAATCACAGTTTCCGTTAGAGAATCTCCAGAGGATATTACGATCGATGGATGCATACAACATACCTGGAGTATCCAAGAATGCTTGGCAGCGGGGAAAGAACAGCTTTGGCGCTTGGGAAAACCGTGCTTCAATTGATCGAGCTAGTAGATTGCGATATTATATCCCGATTCGAGGCAAGAAACCATACCAGGATACGCTTGACGGCAAGGAAAGAACTGGCAAACCCTCGCTTCGATCGATGGAGCTAGTAAATTGCGATATTAGATCGAAATGTAGCCTACATTGGACCGGATCGAGGCAAGAAATCATACCTGGAGTATCGAAGAACGCTTGGCGGCGAGGAAAGATGGAAAAACTCCGCTCGATCGAGCTAGTAGATTGCGAGTAGATTAGATCGAAATGTACCCTACATTGGACCGAATCGAGGCAAGAAGCCATACCTGGGGTGCCAAAGAACGCTGGGCGGCAAGGGAAGGACCAAACCCAAGCTGGATTTAGCCGGATTGGAATGGGGGCTGGCGTCCGTCGATGAGGGAAATTATCCATTGGAATTTGGAGGCGGTGTGAGGTCCGGGCGGGAAAAGTCTGTACCCTTGCTTGTTCATCATACCAGGGTTAAATGCTTGTTTCTTTCCGTATCGGCTACTACGCAGAGCGATCCAACTCTGTAATGATTCTGGCAACATCCATTATCAAATGTGATGTGAAAGATCTTGAACAGCTTTGTTGATGTTTGTTCAGTTTCTCCCTGTCTCACATTGCCAATCACAAATGTAGTCATAAAGTAAACAAAAATCAAATTAAAGTGGCTACATAAGGTAAAACAAAGCGTCTCTTGGGATGCGATTCTAATTCCCTGACTTGTCTGATCGATTCTATCCACTCTTTGTTTCTGTAATCAAATGTTAGGTTCCTAAAGCTGGAATAACCTGTACACAAGTAGAGGGACTTGTGTTGTATCCCAGTAAAGACGGTTATTAATTCCCCTCGAAACGATCCTTGAGGACAAACGAAATTGTGCACCCTCTCCAAACTACCGGGCCTTGAAACAAACCCTGTCTCCGAAATAAAGACGATCATATCACCATTGTCATGCCGTACAATAGCCTGAAGTAACTCCATGTTGTCAGGAGCAATGTTCCATTCATGCTCGATCCAACACCGATTTGATCCCAGCTCACAGCCTATCACGCCAAATTGTTGACCCTTCACGCCGACGAAGTATGCAGTGCTGCCCTCCAGTAGCCATGTGTATGGCGCTGACCTCATCCACAAGGCCCAGCCATCTGGCGGCGAGTACTCCTGGTGGCGCCGCCACGACCAGGTCAACGAGTCGAACACGTCAATGCCCCCCCCTGTTGGGGAGTAGATCGTGTAGGAGAGGTCGTCAGCTGAGACTTTCATGTTTGCTTTGAATCTGATGGGCGATATACCTGGCAGCTCGACAAATGAGTTACGCTTGAGGGGATTCCACACTCCAAACTTCCCTTCTTGTGCACCAGAAAGAAAGCGGTCGGAGAAACAAAGCAGGCCACCGGCAGAGGCAACGGGCTCCCAGTTGGGGAGAAAATCTGGATCTGGCAGTGGCAAAACAGTTGCATCATCGCCAGTGAAAGGATTGTAGATCCTTAAGGACAAGCAGTGGCGTTGTACATGTTGTGTGCATTCAAGGACGAGTGGATGCTGTCTGGACGTCTCTACCTTGGCTTTCGCAAATTCCTTACTGTCAATCACTACTTTCCACCTGTGGCACACAGATCTTGCACGCAGCAGAGCTTTTACATGCAAGAACACTAGAATCCTATCCTCTACATCCGCTGGAAACATTGCCTGCTGCTGTTACTTACAAACCTCCTTTGGTTTTTAGACTACCCTGCACCGAAAAAGGCATCATCATCGGATAAAAATAAGGACCATTGTTCTTTGTTTTCTGCGAAACTCAACTTCCTTGGTTTGTCTTGATTCCACGAAGCGAGAAACAGCCGATGAAATGCAGGTAAGGTTCTCGAATGATTTGACGATAGGCAGATCACACGGCTTTTCTTTTGCTGTCCCTTTGTTTTTCTTTGTTTTTCGAGAGTGATAGTTCTCTAGGACAAAAGAGTATCAAGGCCTTTAGCCAAAACTCACGCAATCGGCATGTGGAAGAATTAGCTGTGTGTTTCTTTTTTCAAAGATTGTGTTCGTTTTCTTGTGTTTTATATAAGACTGCTATTATCAACGTTTCAACATGGTAGCTGTGCTAATTCCTCAAGCTTCGTCCATGAGGCCGCTGTTTGGCTGCCGAGCGATTTTCGATCGATTTAGTTTTTCTCTTGTGAACGACCAACACCAACGTTTCCAGGCGCAAAATATCGCTGCGATAGAGAAGGAAAATGCTTTCAGAAGAAGTTGACCAGAGTTTCGTGACTTTGAAAAGCTCTCGGAGATCTCTGAAGAACATTCAAAGCAATAGTTCTCGACGCCAAGATTGGACATAAAGTCACACTTAAAGGTTTTGATTCTTTCGCACACGATTGATAATGGCAAGTGGTCCTTATCATGGTAGGACTTGCTAGTTATAAAACTTGCGTTGAGTCGTCTATCGAAAAAACCTGGTAGGTTTAGGTATATGGTGAGGGATTATTGCAAAAGCCTCACAGTTGGGAAAAGAAGTGATGTTAGGGTCAAACTCTCGCTCTGACACTCATAGAACTCTTGGGGCCACTGGATTTCCCCAGCCGGTGGCAAAAACCATGAGAAACCCCACGTCGAGGCACTGAAGTGCATCAGATGCCGTGCAAAGGGATTCCCCACACGCCAGAAAAACAACACCAGCAGCTCTCACACACAGCGACATAGCTCAAGGCACTTGCATGGGATGTTGCAAGCCTCAAGCCACTCTCCTTCACTCTGAAACACGGGACACAAGCTCTAAACACACTGCTATCACTGTTAACCGCCAGTAAACACTTTAAAACACAGGTCGGACCTCACAAAGTCACAATAGCTAAGACATTAGCGATTCCAGGATGCTGTATCCCGAGGTTGTGCCTGTGCCTTTAGTGGCTCTTCTAGAGCTGTAGGGGCCTAATGAAGCCCTGGCTAATGTTTCCACATTTTCCAGGTTGAGTTGTTAGGCTGGTGACACATAGGGTCAGTTGTGATGAGTTAGATTTGTACCACCACCCTGGGTAGTCATGTACTTCCGTAAGAAGTTACGGTTCCAAGCTTATGCGTGATTAACAAATAGCAAATTTAGTAAAGGGAGTATGATGATTTTCCATGAGAACTAAAAAATACTCTTCTTGTATTTTTGGTTTGCTTGGATGGTAGTGAATATATTTAGAATATATTTGAATATTCTAGGATATTCTACCATCTAACAGTTGTTATTCATTGAGATTAATTTGTATTTATAATTTATAAACATGTTTATAATTTATAAATTTTCTTAGACCCTTTCTAGTATATTCTTTTTTATTCTATCATCTAATGGTTGATATGCAATAAGATTAATCTTGTGTTCACAAATTATAAACATGCTTATAATTATAAACTTTATTTGATCAATTAGATTAATAAGTAAGAATAACACTACATGTGATGCATAGCAATTTATTATTTTTATTTTTAAATTATGACCTTTTACAAGCTGAGAAGGCCTGAAGGTTGCGCTTATTGGCTGGGTCAGAGATTTGTTCTAACTCGTCCTGCTTGTCTCCATCAGAAACCAACCAATATTCAAATCTTTCCTCCACGAGCAACTTCTCAAAAGCATTCTCTATGCATTCTATGCAGCCAAAAGCCTCCTCCCAAATTTCTGGTAAGTTTGGATCTGGAGAAACATCCTCCATGTCATGGGTAACCTTCACTACACAAGGACTTCAAGATACCGGTATAGCGACCTTACACTGCACAATCTGTAACTCAACATACTTCTTGCGCATATGAAATCAATCACCTTTGACAACTTTCTGAGAAACCTTTCGAGATGAATGGTAGAAGTCAACATAAGAATCTGGAGGTAAAAAGAAAACCAGTAGGGTGTCATCGTTATTGTTGTGGCCCTGATAAAACTCATCTCTCCAGGCTTTGAGAGCCTGCTGCGCCTTAATTTTAGCCTCAAGAACTGGCCTGTGACTATAATGAGCGACATTAGCCTGTTCCAGCGTGTGTGGTAACAGCACAAAATCAAAGACCGAAATAAATAAATAATATACCAACCAGCTGCGAGCAAAGCATCTTCAAGATCACTTTCATAGTATTATAACAACAAACCAGAAGGAGATGTATTTTGACAATTTCCACACTCATATTTGAACTCAAACTCTGAACTCGAATTCCCTAACAACACATTTAGTATGATACCACTTGCGACAAGTTGCACATTGAATCATCTTACCCTTACCTCGATCATCACAACATTGGCAACAAGCAGTGTCAACCTAAAACACGCAGATAAAAAGCATCAAAGGGTGAAAAATTATTAACATCTTACCATCGGTATACCCATAGTGTCCAGTGCCAACGCTTGTCTAATCACATACTGCTAAAAAAGGAAGCCTCTCAGCACCGAGTACTTGCTGAAGCCTTGAGAAGCCTTGAGAAAGCTGCGGATTTTGTCCACATTGGTTTTACACAAGTACCCAGAGTAGAGAGTGGCCACCTTTCCCGAGCAAAATGTATATTGGAAACAACTGAAACAGCAGCTAGGCATCACGTTGAAGTGGAACAGCGTCCACGAGACGTCGGCAGAGCTCTGCAGGATGCAAGACACTTTCCTGAGCTTGGTGTTGGCCAGGCACTTCCTTGCATCTGAACGTGTGAGCGTTCCAGGCTCATGATCCCACAGAAAACTTGGGATGCCACCCAACCAAGAGCATGCTAAGTCGGCAGCCTGCATCTTCTCCTTGATCTCGTTTGCGTCTCTAGGGGCCATCTTGTCCGCTCGCAACTTCCACAAGTCGACAAGCAAACCGAACTGTCTCCTGTCCCATGGAGGCAGATAGCGTGTGTACGTGCGACGAAGTTTCCTCATGGCTCTGGAGTTGTGCCCGTCCAACAAGGCAGCAAGAAGAACTCGGTTGCCAATTCAGTCAGGAGAGCTCTGTTGGTTGATCAGATGGAAGGTAACTTCAGGCGATTCGATCTCGTCGATCTATGTCTCGTAGAGAATGACTGACTGTGGCCGTTCAATCCCCGTCCAGATAATGCGGCATACCAGGATTCCTGTTCTAGTGGCACAGGAGGAACTCGCGTAACAATCTCGTTGTAGAGCGAAAACTTCCCTCACACTAAGCACCTTGACACGATCACATTGCCTGGCACAATGATACCCGCCCTAACATCCGCCGCATCTGCTGCTGCCATCGCCCTAGATCTTTGCGGTGCTGAAGGGGAATTCGGCGAGTTGGGTGCTTGCAGGAGTGGCAATTCCAGAGCTTGGAGGCAACGAAGCAGAGAATCTTGGGTGAGAGCTTGGAGGAAGTTGCACAAGAATTCCGCGCTGGTAAGTGAAGATCTCAACGAGAAAAGTCTTCTCGTTTTCCGCGTTTGAGAGCCCATCCGCGGGGCAGCTGCCACTGTCGCCAAGAGAGAAGAACAAGTTCGCAAGGAAGAAACCGAGAATGGCGATATCGTCAAGAACAAGTCCCTGTTGGAAATTTAACAAAAAGCCCTAGTCTTGTGCAGGCCTGCGAGAGGCATCAGAAGCACTGCAGATAGATAGGGATGACCTATCATCAGAAGGCACTGCCATGAGATTCTCCAGGAGAAACACTGGCATGTGGCCACTGTGTTGCCACTTTTATGCAGTGGAGGACACTCCATGATCTAAATCCAAGAATCACTAGTAAAATGCCTTTAAACATGGGATGAGGTGGTCTCCTCATCTTTTATATATGACTTTGTATAATTTTTTTGTTGGCTTTTGTGTTGGTTTTATAGGAACAAAGCCATGGTGAATGTTTTTCGAAAGCTAAAAGACATAGTCTTGATGCATGCATCTGCAGGCCTGCAAGCTCTCCTGGCATCAGAAGCACTGCAGATAGATAGGGATGACCTAGAAGCCACTGCCATGAGATTCTCCAGGAGAAACACGAGGGAGAACTGGCCTGTGCCACTTCTATGTTGTGACATCCTTTGTAGAGGACACTGCATGATCTAAATCCAAAAATCACTAGTACAATGTTTTTAAACATAGGATGGTGTGGCTTTTATTCTTCTCCTCATTTTTTATATATGACTTTGTATAAGATTTTTATTGGCTTTTGTATTGGTCTTATAGGATCAAAGCTGTGGTGAATGTTTTTCAAAAGCTACAAGTCAAGAGGACTTTAACAGCATTTAATTTTGGAAGGCATATTATGGTGTTAGTTTGGTGAGAGTTTAGCTGGAGTGGTGCAAAGATCTTCCATACATATATTCTGTTTGTGGGTCTTATTAGATACTAGGAGCAATAGGAATGAAATAAGGTATAGATAAGTTTACTTTTTACGCTTTTTGTCGGAGCCATTGCTTTCTATAGTTTGTCACTTTCTTTGATATTAGGTTCTTGTGGTCCTGTTTCTTGGTTATGATTATGAGTGTGTTTTCTATTGGTGTGTTTTTGGATGTGGTTTCTAATTGTTTATTGTAGGTGTTGTGCAATAAGAACTTCCTAAAGACTTTAAGAATCTAATATCCAATTGTGTCACTGAGTTTATTAAAGGGTGTTGTCTCACATAAAATCTTGAAGCCTTGTTAGAGAAGATTGTGAATTGGAAGCATTAGAGTTCTAGAAAGAGGGCTGGATATAGTTTGGGGCTCAAATGGGAGATGAAAGAAGGATTGTGTAGGCAATTGGTAATATCAGCAAGTTACAGGAGTAAGTTGTATGTTAGGGATATAATAGATGGAGGAAGCATACAATCCAAGAAACAAGGTAGTGCAAATTCATGAGGCTTTCCTAAATTATGCAAAGATGTATTTTATGCCGAATAACAAAAATAACTTTGGAGAAGTGGAGGAATTTGATTCCAAAACAAATCTAACTGATTTTTAATATCGGTTTAATAAAAGTTTTGCAAGGGCTAAAACAGTAGTTGGTGAAAAGTATAGCTAAAAGTAAAACTCATAGTTTTAGTTTAACTTGGAAGGCTCTTCCTATTGCTTTCATGAGGTGCCAATGAATAGTGGCATTGTGATAATGCAACTTATATTTTCATATTCACAAATACCTAGTTTTTGAGGTGAAGATTGTTTCTGTCAAAAAAGAGCTTTGATCACTCAAAGACACTTTCATGAGTATAAACCACCATCATCTTCCTTGACACATTCAGTAAAATGGGACTAGGTACAAATTTTTAAGTATTTGAAAATGACGTGAAATTATATGTTTTTTGTCCAGGGGCTAGACATTGCTGTGATATTTTTTGGTATGTAAATTGTAAGACTGCTTTGTGGTTGAAAGTTCATATGCTATAATATAATATGTAGCATCATATATCATCACATGGATGTAAAATCTATATGTCACAAGCTTACACAATGTCAAATGCTTGGGTTCAAACATAAATTGGTATAATGAAATATTACTCACAATTCATATGGCACAATATAGAAGGCTTCACTTGTGTATATCTATTGTTAACTTTTTTGAGATGCCTATCATGTAATTGTATTGGGTTGTATATAAAATATTGCAAATTTGACAACAACTAAAATGATGTCTTGCCACTTGACAACTTGAGTGAGAATTGATAATCCCTATGTTTTACCCACATGATTTATAGCCATGTTAGTTTGAATGTACTTTATATGGAGGAAAATGGTAGTATGCACCACTTTAATATGGATTAACAAGTCATACTAAAACATGACTAATCCCTAAGTTAACAGACACAAGTCAAAGGCCAAACACACAAATGGTTATGCATACATACATTGTAATCACAAATGGCTGACACCCATGTTTGTGCCATCCATACCCATTTCATGGCCATCTGAAAGCTATGGCCATTCAAAAATTGACAATGGCCAATGGCATAAGAACACATGGCAACGAGCATGCCAAGTGGCATACATCCTTTTGGCATGCGTGAAAACAACTACATTTACAAATTGCACACTATAAGACTTGGACTTATATAGGCATGAACAATATATAACAAACTTTTTTTCTTGTGTAAGATGAAACTCAAGTTGTATTATCTTGATCTTTTTGTCAAGAATTTGATTCAGAAAATATCCTTAGACTACCAAATCCATAAAGAAGTTCAAAAACATCAGCTATTGTTGGTCCACCTTCCATTCTTGAACTACAATTTCCAAGTGAAATAGAATCAAAGAATATACTAGGCATTTTGTATTTGGAAGTTTCAATAAAGTTTACCTGTCATCATCAAATCGTGACCGTCGGATACAGAAAATAAAAGAGGCCGTCAGATCGTACGACGACCACAGATTTCCCTTGTCATACCGTATCGAAAACAAAGGCCCCAGGCCATCCACGTCACGCCTGTAATCAGAAGCCTCGCTCCCATTGGCCGCCATTCTTGATTGGGTCTGAGCTGGCACCGTGCCCAACGGGATATTTCCAGGCCACTCGCGGCACAGTCAGCCACCCCCGCCATTTTGGTTCCGTGGTCGTTGCTGGCGTTACGCACACGCACATCGCGCCGTTAGCTCCATCCCGATCTGGACGGACGCGGGCGCCCCCACGTCACCAGCCTTCTCCTTTAAGGCATTTTTCTCGAGGCCGGGTATAAGTTTTTGAGGGTGGAAATTATGTTTGGCCGCGCTTCTTTCTGGTGGAGCGTCTCGTCCTCGACGGCTATGGCGGACGATCTATAACCACGGCAGCCGCGTGAATCCCTGGCTCGCGAGAATTCGAGCTGAGATTTGGATGATTCTTGGCGCCGCGGCGGGATAGGTAAATATTTCTCTCACCAGGAGCAGCGGGAAGGAATTTCGATGATCCGGGATTCGCAGCTAGGGATTGGCGAGGATTGGAATGGAAATCTTGGCGGCATTTGTCCTTGAGACGAGATTTTAGGCGCGGCTGCTGGGCTCGGGTATGGATGTAGCGCGATCAAGAGCAATGTGTATCAAGAAGGAGCCGATGAGTTTCTCGTCCGAGCAGCAACAGCAGCAACAGCAGCAGCAAGGGCCGCGGCTGTTGGCGGATAAGGATTTCCAGTGCCCGATTTGCATCCAGACGATGAAGGATGCGTTTCTCACGGCTTGCGGCCACAGCTTTTGCTACATGTGTATCATCACGCACCTCAACAACAAGAAGAACTGCCCGTGCTGTGGAGTCTACCTCACTAGCAGTCAGCTTTACCCCAATTTTCTATTGAACAAAGTAAGTTTTCCCCTCTTTCCTTAGATCTTGTTTTGTTCTTTTGTTTTTACGTTGTTCTTCGTGCTACCAATCTAAAAATCCAATGGTCTTTCCATGCAGATACTTAAGAAGGTTGCTACGTCGCAAATCTCGTGTGCGTCCCCGACAGAGCAGCTTCGTTTTGCTCTACAACAGGTTTGTGGTCTTCTTCCTCCAGTGATCTGCTATGGCGTGATTTCGATTCTTTTTTCCCACAGGGGGTCGACGTTCCACTCAAAGAGATCGATTCATTGCTGGTTTTGTTGAGCGATAAGAAGCGAAAAGCCGAGCACGAGGAAGCCGAGGTGAACATGGAGGTTCTTCTCGAGTTTTTGCAGAGATCTAGGCAGCAAAAGATGGAAGAACTTTCTGAGGTCAGTTGTCGTGAGTCATTTGGGATGACACCGACCAGAGATTTGTAAGATGAGCAAATGCTAACCGTCTTGTTTCTCAGATTCAAGGGGACTTGCAGTCGCTGAGGGAGGACATCTCTGCTGTTGAGATCCAGAGGCAGGAGCTGCTCAAATCGAGACAAACAAGCTCGCTGAAGTGGCGCTTTCTTCTTGACTGCCCGGCTCTCGACTGTGCGGCTCAAGAGAACCCGTACAACCGTCCTGCGGTTCCCTTGCATCGTGTCGGCCAAGCAGGGGCAGCCTTGCTCGGTGGAGAACAAAGGAAAGCAACGAGAGGTCCTCTCGTGAAGAAGAATGGTGGCATTTCAAATGGTACCTCTGACTTTGAACCGCTGCCTTGTAAGACCGCAAAGAAAAAGAGGATGCTAAACCAGGTATGGTGTGTCTCAGTGCAGTGAAAGTGGCGACTAATGTTATGTTCTGGATCTGATCTGACAGTTTGAAGACTTGCAAGATTGTTACTTGAATAAGAGACGACGTGATCGTCAGATGAAAAAGCTTGAAGCCATTGTTAAAAAGGAGAAAGACGAAGAAGGCTGTGGTGGGTTTAATCAACCTTCAGGCCTTGAGGACTTTAGATCTATTCTCGCTGGCTTCACCAGATATAGGTACCTTCACTTTTCTTCTTTTCTTGAAGGTTTTTCTCAAGCTGGATTTTTGCTTAGTCGTTTGGAGCTGGTGGCTGAGCTACGACACGGAGACTTATTTCATTCTTCTAACATTGTTTCAAGGTGAGGTCTTCAATTATCTCTAGAGTTTCTAACACCAGTGGTGTATTGTTTTCAGTATTGAATTTGACAGGGACGACGAACTCTTTGCCACTGCAGGAGTTTCGCGGCGAATCAAAATTTTCGAATTTGCAACGGTATGTGAGCATGCGATGTTTTGTTTTCTAATACTTTGTTTTTTCTAACAGGTTGTCAACGAGCTTGCAGACGTCCATTGTCCTGTTGCCGAGATGTCTACGCGGTCAAAGCTAAGCTGCCTAAGTTGGAACAAGTACATCAAGGGACAAATCGCGAGCAGCGATTATGAAGGCACTGTAACTGTTTGGGATGTAAATTCTTGCCAGGTAGTTGTCTCTTGGGAACTCTTTCTTTGCTTGTTTGTTTACTTTTGTACGTTTCTCCTTGCAGAGTGTCATGGAGTACGAAGAGCACGAGAGAAGAGCCTGGAGCGTCGATTTCTCCAGGACGGACCCGACAATGCTAGTGTCTGGGAGTGACGACGGAAAGGTAGTGTTTTATTATTACTTACACACCCGAATTCACTGTTTGTGTTTTTGACGCACAGGTCAAGCTGTGGTGCACCAGGCAGGAGACAAGTGTCCTGAACATTGACATGAAGGCAAACATTTGCTGTGTCAAATACAATCCCGGATCTAGCAATTTTGTCGCGGTATTTCTTTCAACTAGCAAAGATTCTTGTTGTGTTTGACAGTGCCTTTGTTTACTTTTTCTAGGTGGGCTCGGCCGATCATCATATCCACTATTACGATCTCCGGAACTCCAAGTCGCCTCTACATGTCTTTAGTGGTCACCGAAAAGCCGTCTCGTATGTAAAGTTTGTATCCCCCAACGAGTTGGCCTCGGCTTCCACTGACAGTACACTGCGATTGTGGGACGTCCAGAAGAGCTCCCAGGTATGCATATCTCTACAGCTCTTTAGCTCGAAGGTTTCCTGATCGATCAAATCAAACACCGTGCTTTGTCTATGCAGATACGCAGCCTCACAGGCCATGCTAACGAGAAGAACTTTGTAGGCTTGACAGTTAACAGCGAGTACATTGCGTGCGGTAGTGAAACGAACGAAGTCGTGGTGTATCACAAGGTAAGTCCATTTGATTGATTTTAGAGAAAAAGAGAATCAATCTGAGGCTTTTGTTTGTTTGTTGCGAGCAGGAAGTTCCCAAGCCAGCAGCAAGGCACAGATTCACAAACCATGACTCGGAGGAGAGCGACGACGATGTGTTCCACTTCATCAGTGCTGTGTGCTGGAAGAGCGATAGCCCAACGATGCTTGCGGCAAACAGCCAAGGGACGATCAAGGTTCTGGTGCTTGCTCCGTGAAAAACGAGGAGGAAGGACGACTTCTCTGTACAATCTTTGCCTAGACAAGAACATTAGAAAATTTTGTAGCCATTGATAGGAAATGTCGACGAAGAATCCAACATAAACTCTACCACAAATCGTTCCAATGGAAATCTTTCAAAGAATAAAAGTAGAACGTCCCGATGCTTCCATGGTCGATCGCCAGGAATCTACAGTTGAAAGATCGTTAGAACTTTACGTGCTGCTCGATACAAAAAAACTTGCACTTCAATGCTCGATCTCCAGGAAGCCAGAGTTGAAAAAATTGTTAGTTTAGAACTCTACGTCCTGTTTGATCTCCAATGGAAAGAATTGGAAGTTTAGAACTTTACGTACCGTGCACGCTCTTCCACGCTCGATCTCCAGGGATCTACCTACAGTTGAAAGAATTGAAGAGTTTAAAACTCTATATCCTGTAGTTGAAAGAATTGTAAGCTTTACGTACCGTGCTCTTCCACCCAGGAATCACAGCACCTCGCCCCACACTCCCAGCGCAGCGTAAACGTTGGACAGCAGCACATAAGATGACTCGTCCGCTGGGTCCAGCGAAAACGCTTGCTCTGCCGCGGCTCTTCCCAGCTCCAAGTCCTCGTGGACGCAGCACGCTGATAGCAAAGCCAAGAACACCGCTGCGTCTGGGAAAAACGGCATCGTGTTGATCAACTCCAAGGCTCTGTCCAGCATTCCAAGCCTTGCCAGGAGATCAACCACGCCGGCAAAGTGATCCTTCGTTGGTTCCAGGCCGAAGTCACTTATAGCCGCGAAGCACTCTCGGCAGTCGTGAACGTCACCTTCGTGGCTGTAAGCGGACAAGAGGCTAGCGCAGCTGCTAGAATTCGGCCTCACTCCATCCAGAACCATCAGCTTAAACAGCCGGATCGCCTCCTCGCCTTGTCCGTCTTGCGCATAGATTGCAATGAGAGAACTCCACGATATCGTGTTCTTCAACCTCAACCTTTTGAAGCAATCTCTTGCGTCGTCCAGGCCTCCACATCTGCCATACATGCTTATCACAGCATTGGCCAGAGGAACGTTGGAGTCGAGGTAGCCACTGTCGGAAACCCGAGCGTGGATCTCCCTGGCCTTGGACAGCACCATGAGGCCCCCGCAGGCATCAACGACGGCCACCAGAGTCACAACGTCGGGCTTCACACCTTCCAAGTCCATGAACTGGAAATGCTTGATTGCCTCGTTGCAGTGACCGTGTTGAGTGTAAGCAGCAACCATAGCAGTCCAGGAGATTGTGTTCCTGTCCGCCATGCCTCGAAACACGTCGATGGCGCTCGCCAAATCTCCACACTTCGTATACATGTGGATGAGGCTGTTGCTGACGATCACCACCGAGCAGAAACCGGAGCTTTTGATTCTCGAGTGCGTCACCCTTCCATTCTCCAAGTCCAGGAACCGTGTGCAAGCTTCGACCAGCGTGACGAAAGTGACAAAGTTGCGCTTGACACCTTCCAAGTCCATCTTGCGGAACAGCTGAAGAGTCTCTGCGTGCTGTCCGTTCTGAGCGTAGGCAGCAGCCATAGATGTCCAACTGATCACATCGGTCTCTTGCATGCCGTAGAACACTCGCTCGGCCCAGCCACTGTCCCGGCACTTGCAGTGCATGCTGATCAATGCGTTCTCAACAACAAGGTCGCAGCCATGTTTAGCTTCCACAACCCAGGCATGAACTTGTCTTGAGAATGAAATGTCTTCCAGACCAGCAGCAACGTTGACAACCGCTACAAGAGCAGCCTCGTCTGGCTTCACTCCACCCAGCAGCATTCTCCGGATGAGATCCAAGGCACCTCCAAAGTCCCCGTTGCGGGAACTTGCTGAGATTACCAGGGTCCACGAGAAAATGCTGGGCATCTCGATCCCCCGGAACACCGACAAAGCGTCACACAGGCTCCCGCACCTGCCATACATCTCCACCAGGAGATTTTGGAGAAAGGTGACATGCCCCCAGCCATCCGAGACAAGTTGCGAGTGTACACACTTTCCCGGTGCCAAATTTCCTTCGCCGGAACACTTCCTTATGAGAGATGCATATCTTTCAATTGCTTGCCACTGTGACTCCTTTTGTTTTGCTTTGAGGTTGTCCGCAACCAAAGATCCTCCGAAGAATACTGCATCAACCATAAACTTCGGAATTAGCTGACCAAGAAACAAACACAATACTCAATTCCACTTCTCTCACCTGTCTGGTCAACACCATCATGGTTCACACTGCCTGTAAGGCCAGTTTTCATGCAAAGTTTCTGCACGCCTATCAACATCGGCCCTCCGCATAAATACCTCTGTTGTGAATCCACCAACAACAATGGATCCAGCTTTGTTCCGGGACGATATAGAGTCCAAGACCAAGGATGCTGCAGCTGTGCAAGCGAACTTGCTTAGTCAGATGATGGAGCTCAACGGCGAGACCGAGTACCTGCGAAGGTATGGAGGCCGCTTCGACAGCCTTCCCATCATCGAATACCACGACGTTGCAGACGAAGTCCAGCGCATTGCCAATGGCGACACTTCTCCCATTCTGACTGCCGAGCCAGTCGTCCGTTTCTTCAAGAGGTATGCTGCGACGACGTTGTTGTGATGAGTCCAATGTCGTGCTTTTTCCCACTTGGTGTGCAGCTCCGGCACAGTCACTGGAGAGCCCAAACTCATTCCTGCTACTTCGAAGTCTCTCGAGCTGCTATTCCGTCGGTATGCGTTGCTGATAGCTTGTGACTTTGCCACTATCTGGTTGTCTGCAGGCCGGTATATATGATGGAGTCCGATGTGTGTCTCGGCTTCTTGTTTGCAAAACCAGAAAACAAGAGCCCTGGCGGCCTTCCAGTATCGACAACCTCCTCAATGTTCTTCAAAGTCCAAGGTGAAAATCTGGAGAAAATGTTCACCAGTCCCATGAAACTTCTTCTGGCACCTGATATCAACCAGTCTTTGTACTGCCAACTGCTTTGCGGCCTCATTCGATCCGAGGACGTCACTCAAGTATTCGCAGCACTGGCCATAACACTGGTAGAAGCGCTTCGATTGTTGGAGGAGGCGTGGAGCGAGCTAGCTGATGACGTCCAGACCGGAACTCTCAACTCGAAGATCACCGACCCGACTTTGAGAAGTTCCTTGTCGCTCTGCTTACGACCAAATCTCAAGCTAGCGCAGAGTATTCGCAAGGAATGCACAGCCGATAACGCATGGTGCGGTATTGTAGAGCGCTTGTGGCCGAAAACCAAGGTTATAGTGACCATCACCACTGGAGGAATGGCACCATATGCTCCTGCTGTAAGAAAATATGGAGGAAGTGTTCCCATAGTTTCTGGAGACTACGTCTGCACGGAGTGTGTTCTCGGCTTCAACCTGGATCCATTCTGTCCACCTGAGAGCGTCAGCTTCACCATTCATCCGGAGTATGCATACTACGAGTTTCTCCACTATCCCCAAAAGCTGACCGACGGATCCACCGTGAAGCTCGTAGACGTGAAGGTCGGCGAGGAATACGAGCTCGTTGTCAGCACCTGGTCCGGTAAATGTAGAACAATCCGTCACTGTTGTAGTCTTCTCACGGAAGTTGTCTTTCTCAACCAGGACTTTATCGGTACAAAGTTGGAGACATCGTCCGTGTAACCGGGTTCCACAACTTCTCTCCCAACATATCGTTCGTCCATCGTCTCAATGCGGAGCTTGATATAGCAGGCGAAAGAAGCACTGAAGCCGAGCTACAGGTAGCGGTCCAGAAGTCTCAGCACTGCCTGCCTGCTTCACAAGAGCTCGTCGACTTCACTTGCCACCAAGACGGCCAGAGGTACCTGATCTTCTGGGAGATTAAAAACGGTGATAGCCTGAATCCCATGATCCTGGAAACCTGCTGCTGCGTTCTCGACACCTCACTGACCGAGAGATATAAACAGCGTCGTGAGAACGGCTTGATTGGTCCACTTCGGTTATGCATCGTCCGTGGTAAGACATTCAAGGCTCTCCAACAATACAGCCTTGAAAAGGGAATAAATCCCACTCAATATAAGACCCCAAGATGCATCACCAGTCCAGAGATGATTGCCATCCTACAAGCAGGTATCACACAAGATTGCCAGACTCCTGCATAAAGAGTATGGCCCGTATTAGAATGTTCTCAAATAGATCTCAAATCTTACGTTGAATGTTGTCACACTCAAGCCTTTCCCCCAGGGACTCTCGGCAAGCTTCACTTTTCACGGCGCGTCTCACTTTTGGAAGCATTCTCTTCAGAGCTTTTGCGCTTAGAATCCGGTTTGCATTATATGAGATTGTCAGATGCGATGCAATTAGAAAATTGTAGTTACCTCGACTGCGTACTTCAGTGTCTATAGAAATGATGAATCGCGAGCACCTGAAATTTTTTAGCTCATTTACAACTCTAGAATCGACAAGTGACGCGTAGAAGCACAGAATTGCCTGACTCCTGCATAAAGAGTATGACCCGCATTAGAATGTTCTAACATGGATCTTAAATCTTACTTTGAATGTTATCATTTTGCTCAATCTTTCGCCAGGCTTTACTTTTCACAGGACGAGGCGAGTCTCACTTTTGGAAGCATTCTCTTCAGAGTTCTTGAGCCTAGAATCCGGTTTTGCGAAATGCATTATCTTATCTGGAGGATTGTCTGGCAGATAGAAAAATGATAAATTACTTACCTCCGATGGCCAAGACTCTTATCAGAGGTTGATCATACGGAAGCTATGGTGCAAGAAAATCCATCAACTCGCATAGCGATTGTGAACTGGAGCTGCAAAACAAGCAATAAAGCACAAGAGGAGACAAACCCGTGCTTCAGTATCTTAGAAACGAGGAATCACGAGAACCTGGAAATCTTTCAGCCCACTTACAACTCTAGAATCGACATAGAAGCAAGTCCCAAAAGAAGTAAGTTTGTAGTGCTCATATAAGACGATCCTGTTGCCTGTTCGAGGAAATGCCATTCATGCTTTGTTTGCACATGAAAGAAAGAAAATTTCCAACTTACCCTTCGATCCAGTTTCCAGCCTTTCGACCGCTAGAATTCAGCCTTCCAATCCCTTCGAAAGCGTGGAATACACCGTTGAAGTGCTGGATTTTCCCTGGGCGGGATCGCAAGACGATGGGACGTACGCGACCTGCATTCCATCCTTGGAGCTCGGAAATGGCGATCCATGGCGGCGAGCGGCAGATAATCCACCGGCGCCTCGCGGATCGGCATTGCTCTCTTGAAAACCCTAGCCCAATGGCGGCTAGTTTAAACTCTCGGCGAAAGCATTACTAAGAAGAACATAGGCGTAAGATTCTTGGGAAGAACACAAAGAAGAAGAAGATTGGGAGGAAGAATCCACGCCTATGCCTAGAACCGATTTGGCGGCGTCGCGAGCGTGGCCAAGATTGTGGCCGCCATTGCGGCAAGCCCCAAGCAAACAGCTCCACTCATAGGCACTGGCATCGAAGGGCATGGTCGCGACGAGCTCTCGCGCGTCGTCCAGATAGCCGCCCCGGCTGAGCAAGTCGATCACGCAGCAGTAGTGCTGCTTGGTGCGATCGATCTGGAAGTCCACATCCATGGATCCGAAGAAACTCCTGGCGGATTTGACACTCCCGGCGTGGCTGCAAGCGATCAGGATAGAGAGGAAGCACGCCTGATCAGGAAGAACAGCCGCCAGATTCATCCGCCAGAAGAGCTCCACTGCCGCCTGTGAGAAATCAGCGCTGGAGGAGTACCCAGCCAGCATCGCGCTCCACGAGACGGGATCGTCAACCTCGGGCATTTGATCGAAGAACTTTCGCGATTGCAGCAAATGCCCGTTCTGGGCATATGCTGATAGCAACGCATTCCTCGTCACAACGTTGTGCATGGGCATGGTATCAAACACTATCTTCGCTTCCATTAAAAGGTGGCCATGCACGTAAGACGTTAACAACGCTGTCCAAGAAATAACGTCTCTAGAAGGCATTATTAAAAAGATGTGTCTCGCCATTTCTAGATGCCCACTCCCGCCATAGCCAGATAGCATCGTGTTCCACGACACAAGGTTTCTTTCAGGCATTTGATCGAATATCCCTTCCATGGTTTCGATGGATTCCATTGTGGCGGCAAGAAATAGCAAGAGAGACCACGACACAATATCCTTCTCGGGCATAGCACCAAACAATCGCTTTGCCCGGTCCATGTCACCAGCGTCCACGTAAGCTGCCATCAGAGCATTCCACGTAACGAGGTTCCGCCGCGGCATGCCGTCAAAGTGCCGCGCGGCCCGGCGCACGTCGCCCAGCTGCACGTACAGCGAGAGCATCGTGTTCCACGTCACGACGTCGTGCTGCAAGCCCGACAGCATGGCACGAAACGTGGCCTCGGCCTCGGTGACATGGCGATGGTGGGCGTACGTGGCGAGCATGGAGTTCCACGTCACCAGGTTGTGGTAGGGGATGGAATCGAATAGCCGCTTGGCGCCGGCATGATCCCCAGCCCGGGCATATGCGTCGAGCATCGAAGTCCAAGAGATCACATCGCGCTCGGGCATGGAATCGAAGGTTTTTTTCGCGCGATCGATCGATTGAATTGACAGCATGATGTTGAAGGATGTGAGGCTGCGCTGTGGCATTCTTGCGAAGATCTCTTCGGCTTCGCGGAGTTCCCCAGAGCGGGCAAGTGCTGCGAGCATCGCGTTCCAGGAGAAGGAATCCCTCCGGGGCATTTGAGCAAAGATCTCTTTGATCGAGGGGAGCGATTCCATGGTGGTGTTGCTGAGAAGCCCGTTCCAGGACAAGAGATTCCACTCGGGCATCGATTGGAAGAGCGCTCGCGCTGTTGATCCGTCGGCGACTGCGAGCATCGAGTTCCAGGACGCCAGATCGTGCAGTGGCATGGAATCAAACGAGCTCCTGGCATCGTCCGAGAAGCCCAGCTCCGCGAATGCCGACACCATCTGGTTCCACGACACGAGATCTCGCTCCTCCATCGCCGCGAAGAACTCTCGCGCTTCCGCGATTGGGCGAGCCCTGATGATCGCCGCGAGGATCGCATTCCACGAGAACACATCCTTGTGGGGGATTGATGCGAACAGCTCAATCGATTCCTGGAAACAGCCACACTGGGCATACGCGGAGATCATCGAATTCATCGCGGCGGTGTCGAGCAGCGGCATCGAATCGAAAACCCCTCTCGCCGCCTCGATCTTCCGCGCGGCGGCAAAGCCCACGATCATCGTCGTGCACACGGCGACGTTCCAGCGATCCATGGAATCGAACAGCGCCTTGGCCTCCTCCAAATGCCCGTTTCGAATGTAGGCATGGAGGATCGCGCTCCAGGAGAAGAGATCCCGGACGTGAGAATCGCCCATGAGCTCGAAGACCTGGCGGGCGTGCGTGACGCTCCCGCAGCGCCCATACATCTCGATCAGCTTGTTCCACACGAATGCGCCATCGCTGGGCTTGCAGGGGATCTGCTGGTGGAGCTGGCGCGCCATCGCGAGCGAGGAGCACGATTTCACGCGCCCCAGGAATTCGGTCGTATCCATCCATTCACGATCAATCTCAAAATTAGGGTTCTAACGTGGTCCCGCCAAGTGAAATTGGTATATTCCCGGTGCAATGGAGCTTATGTGGTGATTCTATCCTAAAGCTTCTTTCTCTCTTTTTTGTGCGTGTGTGGCTATCACTGCGCTTCTTGTAGGCACAAGGACTCGCTGCAAACCATCTAGAGAGGAGAGACTCGCAATTTTCTTTTCACTTCCAAAGCCTGTCTTCGCAGATCAATTGAAAATGGCTGTAAGAAAGGCACTTTGCACAAGCGAGAAAAAACGTAGACAGCTTGTAGGCGCTCTTATCTCGGTTAAGCTGGACGAATGGTACTTCTAAGTTTGATGAAAACAGACGACAGTCTTACACTGCCAGAGACAAGAACTTGTGGTAAGCTTTCTAAACTTTTGTTTGCTCAGAGAACCTCAGCAATCACCTTATGAGCTGCATTGGACCAACAGTCAGTGTATGTTAGCATACAATCAAAGGAATTACCACTGCTTTCGTTTTCGCAGAACTTCGGAATCTTCCTCTGGACCTTTTTGTTTCAATTGCTCGTAAGATCCAGACGATGTTATGAGCTGCAACTCTCTCAGCTTCCACTCGTGCAGACTGGAACACCCTGCAGGCAGCGATGGACAGCTTTCGCAACCTCGTAGCCTCCTGAAGAACACATTAGAAAGCTCCAAACATGTAGAGAAAGCTCCAAACACAATGAAAAGATACCTGGAGGTTTTCTTCTTTCCACGTTAGGACAAGGTTGCCTATCGATATTCGCAACACGCCCTGAACGAATTCAGCAGCCTCTGAAAGATCTACAAGGATCCAAGCTGTAGCAAACATTGAAACAACGTAAAAGATATGAAGCGAGAGCCTACCTTATTGTTTAAGTGCAGCACGCCTACAGGGAACTCCCCTTCCTCGGGCAACATACTATTACGAAACTTTATATGGAACTGCTCATTCGTCCGGTCGAAATCTCTCCCAATGACTGTGAACGCATTGCAGCAACATTGGCAAGGTATCTAGTGAATGCACAACCAATGCATCGTTCTATTAAAATGAAAAACTGTACCTTCTGTATGGAAGCTCGTCCACTCGACCTGTTTGACAAGCACGAAACCAAAAACGTCCAGGATCGAATACTTATATTTCGATTCCGCCCAAACGAATGGATATATCCGATCCACAGGGCGTGAGTCCTTGAGCAACAGCCCTGCCGCACTCAACACTGCCTGGAAGATATCTTCGGATCTCATCCTGTTTTTCGGAAGACTTGCCATCGTCAAACCATGAAAACACTAACGAACACTTCCTTCCATCTTGCGTTGCCTCAACATGAGCTCTTGGAACCCAGCTCTCAGTGCGTACGATATGAAATCCGTTCTCCACCTCTGAAACATGACAAAGCATTAGAAATCTCAGAGCTTCTGCTCCTTGACAATGGAAAGCACACAAAGTTGGAAGGTTTTACCCGAGTTCTTAAGCCTTTTCTCTGTTCTTGTGTTCCAGGGATTGACGCATACACGAACTTCTCGGTTAGAGGATCCCAGCACTTCTCATAACATGTCACTGATCAACACGCTTGAGTTGGAATCACTCGGTATAGATTCGAGAGATGGTCGTCTAGATCGACTCGTGTTTTGAAGCAAGCTTGAGCCTCGAAGAGCGACGAAAGGACTTCGTTGGTGATTTTCTCCATCAAACCCACAGGCTGTCATCTCGAGCGTGATCTCTGGAAAAGACTTGCTGATGCTGGAAAACTGTGCGCCTTGCATCGCAAGGAGCACACTTCACTGCTGAGCATTCTGTGCTTGAGATTCTTCTTCCACCACCTCTCCTTGAGCAAACACTATCCCGGCCTTAAAACGAAGAACCCTAACAGAAGGGAAAATTTAGCTAGGGTTTATGGCGGAGGAGAGAGCTTCGTCAGGTATGCATTCTTTCGTCTCGCTTTCGCTTCGATCGATCCAATCGATCGGATTCAGGGAAAGCGCTGGAGCCCGGCGCCTGGTTTGAGATCGTTGAAAGTGGAAGCGGAGTGCAATTGAGCCCTCCATTCCCCGCCGTGGCGATCCAGCGCCCTCTTTTCAAGCCTAGATCGCTCTTTTTTGCTAGGATCGGGTCGGATTCAGCAACGAGGTGAATATTTCGGCCGCATTGGATCGATTTCCAGTAAAACACTCACTTATCCCACAGGCAGGCTCCTCCAGCCGCGAAGAAGGTCGAGCATTATACGGTGTTTCGAATCGCTGGCGATGGACGATGCATGTTTAGAGCTTTGGTAAGTGATTTCTTTCTCGTTCTTTTTCTTTGTATGTGTCTACCGCTACCTCTCTTTTTCTGTTTTATTTGTTCTCTTTGTTTGAGTAGGCGCAAGGTCTCGCTGCAAACAAGGGAGTCCGAATGAGCGGTAAAGAGGAGAAGGAAGAGGCTGGTAAGAGCACTTTGTAATTTTCTTCTCTCCTTCAAAAGCTCGTTTCTCGCAGATCAACTGAAAATGGCTGTGCGAGAGGCACTCTGTACAAGTGAGCAAGAACGTCGACAGCATGAAGACGCTCTTATCTCAGTGACGGTGGACGAGTCTCTTAAAAGGTACTGATCGAAAACAAACAACATCCTTGCTCCAACTGGAACTGCCAGATACTGCCAGAGAATAGTGAGACAAGATTTTTGGGGAGGCGACTCGGAACTTCTGGTAAAGTTGCTAAGCTTGTGTTTGGTCAGGCAAGCTCATGGCAAGGCTGGCTTCAGGTTTTGTCACGGATGCTTGGACAACCAATTACAGTATACATTCCCGAATCCGAGGTAGCAAATATGGTTGCAAACAACTGGAGTAATGTTTCTTTTCTTTCAGCTCAAGCAGGGAGCTCGCTGGGGCACAGGCTACATTCCAATCGCGGAATATGGAAGCGAGTTCAGCAAATCGAGCAAAGAGCGCAAGGGTAGAAAGCCAGTGAGGTTACTCTTCAGTGGTAGCAACCATTACGATCTTCTAATATGATCCTTAATAATTTTTGTAGTTACTCTAGTCCCAGGTATGCTCGTTTTTTTGGTAATTCACAGCTAAAGGCCGCATTTTTGTTGCCATGTCAAACAACGATCTCAAGAATAACTTTCTGGACAAGCATTGGGTCTAATGCGTTCTGTAAAGAGTCAACAGATGTTTACAAAGCAGGTTATTTGGGATCTTTGCTTTGTTTTATTCCTAAGCTTGCGGACGCTTTCAGGTCTTCGCTCCAGGAATTCAAGATCCAAAGTTAACCGAGGTACGAGTTAAAGACAATTCTTTTTTGGAAGTCAAGACAATTGGATTACCTCTTCATCTTTTGCCGTAGGTGGAACTCATTTTCCAGCTTCGTGAACGCCTTCAAACGGCACAACGTTTTTTGTCAAGAGATCTTTCACCACAAAGCGGCGGTGGGTTCGGTTTCATAGGTGCTTTTAGGTGGTGGTGGTCGTACCATTGCCAGCAGGGCATCACACGTGTAGTGGCACGTCACAGCTCACGTGGATAGACGCCTTGCTCCGAAGTTTAAGGCTTGTAGCGTGCTGAGCAGAAAGAGGGAGACCATTTTGTGCTGTTGCGCTGGGCTGGTTCCGTTGGATCTCAAAAAAGCATGAAGAGAAGGGAAAATGTTCCAAGGCAACAGCAACAGCAGAGGATAGGAGTGTACAATGCTCGGATCAGCGGCCGAGCGTGCAACAGGGTGCCGAGCAATGCTGAAAATGTCACTGATGAGAAGAGCAACAAGTATCTCAGCATGAGCCGTCTGAAACTGGATGAAGAAGCTGCGGTTCCTGCTGGTCACAACAGCTTCCAGAGGAAAGGCCAAGCGTGGTAATTTCTTTTGTTCTTCCTCTCTCATTCCTTTCCGAGCGAGTGAGCTCTTCTCCTTCGTGGTCTTTTTCCCATCCCCTCGAGCTCACAAATGTCGCTTCAGGTTCGTGGCGACAGAGCTTCAGAGCGATTTGGTTGTGGAGGTCGATGATCTCAAGTTTCATCTTCACAAGGTTCGTCTCGTTGATACGCCAGTAACGTTCCTTTTTCCTACTCGCCTTTTGAATCTCCCACCGGCGAGAATTTAAGAGTTGCTGCTATTGAAACTAAATACTTTGCTGCTCGCTCGCTTGCAGTTTCCTCTACTTTCAAGGAGTGGTAGACTCAACCGGCTTGTGTTTGAGTCTCGTGATACCGAGACTGACGAGATTAAACTCGTAGGAGTCCCCGGCGGCCCCGAAGCATTTGAATTGGCAGCCAGATTCTGCTATGGCATGCCAATCGACCTTAACGCTTCCAACGTTGCAGCATTGCGTTGTGCGGCGGAGTATCTCGAGATGGTAGAAGAGCTCGAAGAAGGCAATCTCATTGCGAAGACTGAGGCGTTTCTGGCACTGGTAGTTCTTGCTTCGTGGAAAGACACGCTCACGGTGCTGCTGAGTTGCGAGAAACTCCATCCATGGGCAGAGGACTTGCAGATTGTGAGACGGTGCAGCGAGTCGATTGCCTGGAAGGCATGCACCGATCCAAAGGGGCTCAACAATTGGCCGACGATCACTGGCGGCAAGAAAAACTTCGTCAGTCCTTCGAGCTATATTGCGAAAGACGGGCGCAATTTGGCACTGAAGCAGGTTCCGCAGGACTGGTGGTTCGAGGACGTCTGTATGCTGTGCATCGACCACTTCACTAAAGTTCTCACGGCGATCAAGGCCAAAGGAATGAAGTCGGAGCTTGTCGGAGCTGTGATAATGTGCTACGCTCTCAAGTGGATCCCGACTCTATCCAACGGATGCCACGAGTCCAGCAAAACAGGCCGTGCGGTTGCTACAAGTTCTCCAGCCATAGTGACCAAGGAGGATTTTACCTGGCTGCAAGCCAGGAGTAAGCTGGTAGTGGAGAGTATGGTCGGCCTACTTCCCGGACAGAAGAACTCGGTCAGCTGCGGTTTTTTACTCCAGATGCTCCGTATAGCTAGCATGCTAAACGCGAGTGGTCCTTGCAAAGTTGAGCTGGAGAAGAGGATCGCCATACAGCTCGAGCAAGCGACACTGGGTGACTTGCTCATTCCTTCCGCTCCCCATGTTTCCGACACACGGTATGATGTCGGCCTCGTTCAAAGGCTAGTGGAATACTTTCTTGCACACGAGGAGGAAACCAGTCCGGATCGGAGCCCTGATGCCGAAACTCCGTCGAGCGTAGACAAGGCAAAGTTAAGTTTCGACAACAAGAGCTCCTCCATCTCGGTTCTCAACGAGCATTCGTCCGGGAGCAAGATGAAGGTTGCCAAGCTGCTGGACAGCTACCTAGCGGAAGTTGCACACGATCCTCAGCTGCCACTGACCAAGTTCCAAGCTCTCGCCGACGCTTTACCAGTTTACTCACGAGCCTGTCACGACGGACTGTATAGAGCTATCGACATGTACCTCAAGGTTCGTAAAAGCTGCTCGGTTTGGCATTTTGCTGGAAGATACAATCTTATTGCTTTCCCTTTGTTTTTTTTATTATCTACAGGCACATCCGACAGCGACCGAACAGGATCGTAAGAGGCTATGCAGGATTATGGACTGTCAAAGGCTATCTTCCGAGGCTCGCTTGCATGCCTCCCAGAACGAACGTCTTCCTCTCAGGACAGTGGTTCAGGTACTCTTCAGTGAACACCTCAAGCTAAAGAACATATACGGGTATGGCTCTTTCGGTGGTGGTGGTACGCAAGTCACTCCCCCCTACTCAGAAGCTACGTGGGAAACAGCGTCCCAAGACATCAGGTCCCTGAAGAAAGACATCGAAAAGATCAAGGAGCAATTCTTAGAGCTCCGGACTGGCTACAACCACATCAAGCAGGACCTGCAGAAACTGCTCAAGCCAAGCAAGCGCAGCTCCGCGTCGTCGTCTTCGTGGGGCTGTGGGCTGAAAAGGTTGGGCTCGACGCTTGCCAGTCCCCGTTTCTTTCACTACAGTTCGAGAGATGACGGGCCATCAACTCCGGACATTTTCAAATCAAGACGTTGGAGGTAACTTTCGAGTTGCTTTTTTCCTTTCATTTTGCTTTCGTTCCAGCGAAGTAGTTTTAGCTTAGGACGCTCCTTCTACACCCCGTAGAAACGGAGCTGGAGTTTGCAAGCAGCTAGAAGAGGACACTGCTTCGACAAGCCGACCAATGATTTGTAGTGGTATATTTTCATCGGGGACGGTTGGGTTGTGTTATGGTGGCCGGGGTATACATCAGCCAGCCTGAGCAGAGGTCGGGAAGGAAGTTTACTTCGACAGGGCAGTGAATCAGTGACTCTCAGTGAATTAAAAAATGGAGAGTTGGGGGGAACGGAGACATGGCTGAAGCGACTGAATGCGATGTCTCAGCACGAACATAGGACTGGCAACAGATTGATTGAGAGGGGCCTGGTTTTTCGTTTTGGAGGGAAAGACGATCAACCGAGACCGCCATTACAGTGACACGATAGCGATGGTAATCAGACGAAGAGACGAGTCAGAACAGTAAGAACAGGAATCGGGAGAGAGAATGAGATATGGTTGCTTGGTTTCCAGGACAGGAGGAAGATAAAGGAAGGTGTCGCTCGCCAGGAATTTATCAACAATTACTCGTCGTCTGCCAGCACCACCGTCGCCAGCCAGCAGCAGCAGCAGCCATCGCTCGACTCGAGCAAAGCGATAAAGCGTTTCTTGGTTCAATTCAAACTCGGAAAGGTGGACTTTTGGTGAGCGTAAGTTATAACTCTTTAGAGCACTGGCTTTTCGATTAATTGGACGCTCGTGTTGGTGATTAGGTGATACCTGGTGGTGCGGTCCAAGGCTCCAAATTACAATCCAAGGCTTCAAAGTCTTGAAAAGGAACCGACAGGTGGTGGCAGCATCATGCATTGAGGATGATCCGCCAGTATTAATTGTGATACGGTGGAAGCTTTTATGGCCAAGGGAAAGGTAACAGAACTACGATGCCTGCGATGAGATCTTCCTTTCCCGTATTCATCGTCGTTACGTACACGGCCGCCAGGTGCTCAGGACTTTGATCGTACGCTGGTAAGTCCCTTGAGTTTCTCGTTTTGTTTTTGGTAAGATAGGATCAATGTCTTCCTGCTTTCTACAGAGCAAATGAATTCCTCGAGCATAACGCGACGTTTAACTTCCGGACGAGTGTATGGAGAGGGATGAAGTCCATCGCGTTGCCTGTCAACAAGCTCAAGTCGTGAAACCATGCGTAAGCTCCATCTCCTCAAGTCGAGAACGTTGAGCTTCCATCCACAACCGATGGCCACTGCGCCTTCCTCAACTCTAGTCGAGGAGAAGCTTGAGAAATTCTCAAGCTGGATAGCCTTCTCCTCGAGCTTTGCTGCCGGTCATGTTATAAGAGCTAGTGCCCATCTCGCATATAGAACGAGCGTCCTCCATGGAGACGAGTCTTTACCATGTCTCTAGAGATTCCGGCTAGATTCCTTTTCTTTTTTTGTTGTCAATAATTTTATAGAAAGAAAAATTATTTTAAATTTACGGTAAAAAGGGATCTCTTATTTGAAGTATATAATACCATCTATCGTAAAGGATTTCTAGCCCTAAGTAGAAAGATGGCAAAGGCTCTGGTGATCATCTTGGTCTTGCTAGCGAGCGTGATTTATTGCTCGTCAACAAGTAGATTGGATCTCGGTGGAATTCGACAGGTTATAGACGACGTAGAAGTGGAGGATGTGGAAGGCCACCTCAAACACTTCATGCACAAGTTTGGCAACGCGAGGAGTACGTGCACCGGCTCAAGGTGTTTGAAGCGAATCTGGCACGCGCCAAGAGACTCCAGCACTAGGATCCCACTGCCATTCATGGAATCAGGACCTCACCCCAGAAGAACTCTTAGGGTTCATGGGATTCCGTAAAAGGTACTAGCGGGT